GTCAAACCCGTTCATAACGTCTTTCAACGCCCCCTCTTCTCCGTAAACTGCGACTAGATCGATGTCGCTAATGTCGCAGTTTGAAGGAGTCGAGGAAACTCATCGACCATGTCAACCTCGACTGGGGATTAAGAAGTCCTTTTCCAGCTTTAGAAAGATGTGTTAGGCAGTTTTAGATTTATATACAATTGTGAGTTTTTTCTGTTCTTGGCTATATAGCACGGAACATACATGTGGGCCAATCCATGCCAAATTACACACTTTTTTCCCTTCATACCTCAGAATTTTTGTAAATTTTGTTGGATAATAGAATCTAAGCCAGTATAAAGAAAGCCGAAGAAAAACATGCAAAAGTGAATTCCCCACCAAGTTGCACCCCAAAGTTGAAAAATTTGCCAGTTTGCCGCCTGACAAGCCTGTCTTCGGAGCCGTCCTTGACGGAATTCAAGAATTTTTGATCCAGCTACTTCTCTTGTCCTGAACTTTAAAAAAATATCAAATAATGTAATTCCGATAAATATACACAAAGATACAATGAAAACAAAATTTCAAACAGACATAGAAAAAAAACGTGTTTTTAAATTTTTTAAAAAGCTTATATTTCGTGTAGACTTTTTTCCTCTGCAACATATCAAAATTTGAAGATGATTTTTTGATATCCAGACTTACGAGCCAGGAAAGAATTTAAAACTGAAAAAATCACACTATTTTTACAATAATCCCATGTAATTTACAGTGGCGAAACGCTCAGTAGTCGCCTGTGAAGGTCGCAGCTGGCAGCTGCAAATGACTGGTATGCTTTGAACGGAGGAGGAAATTCGCTATCAAAGTTGTACTTTACATTGATAATATTAAGAAATTATTATTCTGCAGAGTTACAAGAGGTAGTCTTTACTCCAGCCCTTTCTAGTTTTTGTGTTTCGTGGTTGCTAAGCTCTTAGAACTGTCTCTGTCTCGTACCCGTTAAAATTTTTGTTAGGCTTGAGCTGTTCTTTAAAATTATGTGCTGCAGTTCTCCAGAAACACAGTTTTAAGAAAAACCTTAATCTAACAGCTACCCTGGTAAAGCAGTAAATTCTTAGACTTCTTTGCGACGCCAAAATGTATTCTAGCTACACAGTTTTGATAGAATAGACAATAAAAAACGAGAAGCAGAAAAGGCTGAAGTAAAGACCGCCTCGTACAAGTCTACAGAATAATAATTTATTAATATTACTAATGTGAATTACAATTTTGGTAGCGAATCTCCTATGTTTAAAGCATACCGGTTATTTGCAGCTGCCAACTGCGGCCTTCAGAAGCGGCTACGGATGATTTCACCTTTGTAGAATACATGGGATTACTGCAAAAATAACGGGTTTTTTTCACTTTCACATTGTTTTCTGGCTCTTAACTCTCAATATTCAAAACCGCTATTACCAAATTGTGATAGTTTGTAGAGGAAAAAATTGTAAATAAAATATATTTTTTTTAAAAAATTTAAAGACACGTTTTTCTTCTATGCTTGTTTGAAATTTTATTTTTATTGTATCTTTGTGTTTTTTTACTGGACAAAAAAATTTTGTAAAACTATTTAAAAGTAAATAAATTTCAACTAATTATCTGTTACGGGAGTAGCAAAGGTAAAAAGTTTTATAAGAATTATATATATATATGGGCCATTCCACGTCAAATCGCACA